CACTTCTCCGGTCGCATCCGAAGAAGTGGGCTGTAGTCCACAAAAGCGTATGCTCTAATAAATCTGTTAGTCGCTAAGGTGCCACAAGTACTCCTGTTCTTTTTGCGGATACAGACTAACACGGCTGCTACTCTGAAACTTGGGGAAAAAAGTTAAATGGTATTGTCAGCTTCTACATTTGTGTCTCAATGATTTTCAGGTGAAAAGCTTTCTTTTCTTGCCTTTAAATCTCAAAGAATACTGTATATAAGATTTCATTTTCTTCTAGTTTCTTTTTAAAGTACATTAAGAAAATTAATGCCAGTAAAGACACACCTGTAAACTTGTTAAGCTTTGTCTGATTTTCAGAAATCTCACCAATGAATTTTCAACTTCAGACTGCAACACCATAAACCTACATAAAAGAGAAATGATTTAAATCAATGATGTCAGCATCTATTGGGAATAATCATTTAAAAAGTCTTTCTTAGAGGTCCCCCCAACAACAGTAATGTCTCAGCACTAGGTAAACAATAATTAGTTTATCCTGATAACACTACTGTGAAGTAGGAAAGTATCATCTTTGTTTTAAAAATAGGGAACTCAGGTCCAGAGAAATTAAGGCTATGTCTACACTACAGCTGAACAAGCCTCCAAGCCCAGGTAGACAGACACATGCTAGCAGGCCTTGAGCTAGTGAGCTAAAAATAGCAATGTGGATGTTGCAGCTCAGGCTCTCAAGCCTAGGGGGTCAGGTGAGCTTGAGAGCCTGAGCCGCGATCTCCACACTCCTTTTTTTCCAAAAACAAAATTTTAAACCTGTTCGCTCGAGCCTCTCTAGTGCGAGTCTGTCTACTGGGGTCGGGAGGCTTGCTGCCACTTCCAGTGTAGACATTCCCAATCCGACTTGCCCATGATCACATAAGAAGGCTGTGGCACAGCCAGGAATTGAACCCACGCGGTCTCAGTTCAGTGACTTAACCACTAAACCATCTTTCAGTCCACAGGCATGTTCTAATACTGATGTAAAGATTAGTCAGATTTTAGCAGTTGATTGAACCCACGCGGTCTCAGTTCAGTGACTTAACCACTAAACCATCTTTCAGTCCACAGACATGTTCTAATACTGATGTAAAGATTAGTCAGATTTTAGAGGTTGATGAGCTTAGTAAGAAAAGCAAAGTACGACACAATTGGATCAGGTTCTAAATGACAGATTATTCAGTGTATGATTGAGGATGTGCATTATGGGGGAAAACCGCCAAATGTTCTTATAACAAAGACTTAGAACTGGTTCTTTTTGTAGCATGTCAGCATAGAAATCAAATATGGACAAATGGGAAAACATCCATTCACTTTTCTTTTCCCCAACAAAAGGAAGGATCTCATTGTCATACTTAGCCTTATGGAAAAAGAAAGTTAACATCATCACATTTTTACATAGCAACAGATGGTTACCCAGAAGAGGAAATGCCAATGTCAGTGTATCATAAAATATATTTTCCCCCTCAGAACATAAAGCGTATGGAAGTTCACATAAAATATTACTATGTAGGTGTTTGTTTGTACATGTGCTTTATTGACATGTCACTAACTGCTGTTCTCAACTTTTGCAGTTATTTTTAAACATATTGAATACAAACATTTACATGTCGAAAGTGACCAGGCTTACTTGAATAGGTTTGCACTTGCAAGGTTACCACCACTTGGAAACAATGGTATATACATTGACCAGGGATTTACTGTATCGTGGGAAGAATATATTTGCTTGAATTAAGAGTTTTCCACACTAAAAACAAAGACATTTGTAAATATTTGCCTAAAGAGATTATGATTAGTCAAAGATTTTAAAAAAAAAAATTTTTAAAGGTCCACAGGGAGCCATTATGATCATCAAGCCTGGCCATACAACCTCACTCAAAAGTTTCTGCATCAAGCCCATCATTTCTTTTTGAGCTACAACATACCTTGACTTAAAATCTTCCAGTGATGGAGAGTCAACCAGGTCCCTAGGTTAATTATTCCAATTGTTTGTTACTCTCTTGGGATTTTAGTTTAAGCATGAAGGGAAAAAAAACCTGTTTCATATGAAGGCACTGTAGTGAATTCTTCCATAATTGAAAGCATTTTAGTTGACTAACTTTGACATTCATTTGTGACTTCCAAACAAATTCAATGTACCTTTAGTAAAACATGTATGGAGTATAATTGTAGGTCCAAGGATATTATAGAGATAAGATGGGTGACACAATATCTTTTATTATACTAACTTCTGTTGGTGAGAACAATAAAAGATCCAATACAGGATATTACCTCACCTACTTTGTCTCTTTAGTAAAATGTTTTCCAAAAATTAATAAAACCTACAAGTAAACCCACAGCTTTTAGTGTAAAAAAATTAACTATTCATGAAAGAGGATTTAAATGCCATGCTCAAAATGAATAAGATCAAGGTAAATTTTAAAAATGGTGTCCCTTTATCATAAGTCAAAGCAGGTTAAGTTCCAGTTCTGTATGGGAATCTACTAGCATTCCTTCCTTATGCACTCCTTATGTCCATCCCTGTTTAGCAAAGCACCAGAGCAGCCACCTAACTTGATGTACCTGCTTAAGTGCTTTTCTGAATTGAAGCCTATAAATGTCCATCACTGTCAGAAGGCTTAGGTACTAAAGTCAGTTTGCAGCAAGAAAAACAAGATTCTTATGGGAACATTTTAACAAAACAAATATACATTTGAAGTCAGAATCATGACCCATTGTGATGAGAGGTATCAAAATCAACCACTACAATTTGGCAATGCATCTTTGCCACAAGCAATGCTTCCAGCAAAATCTAAAGAGCTTGCACATGTGAAACAGTTTGGAAAAACAAAACACATTCCTTTGTGTACCTTAATTACAATACTGCCATTATGGGTGGGATGTCTAATAATGGGTACGGAAGTTAGGTTACCAAATCCCATGGAAAAATCAGAGTTGGGTGTCCAACTCCCTTATCTGCTTTGGAAAATCCCACCCTGTACAATCTCAAGTATAAAAGAACAATCATTCTAAATTTTATTTCTCTAAGGAAATAGTCACTTCCCTCATCACTGAAAATGATGACATTTTATCACCACAGACTGGTACACTTACTTATCATACTCTTCTGTTTGAGATTGCCCTCTTCTGGATAAACTCATTTCTGAGTAATTCAGCTCATCTCGGTCTCCTAAGTAGTCCATATTAAAGAAAGAAACATAAATACAGATAAAAATGAAACAGGTGTATTGTATATAGTTTGAAGCAGTAGGGAAAAAAAGAGGTGTTAGCATGCATCCTCACTACAGCGGAATCTCTTAAAAACAGCTTGCTTATGAAACAAGGATGACTGTCCCATGAACAAACACACAAACTTTTTTTTTTTTAATTTAAGCCTCGGTGGCTTCTGTAGCTTTTAGATGTAGACAATTTGGAACTACAGTATCAGTGACTGGATTTTGGTATGATTCTGTCAGAAATTAGAAGATCAAAAACTGTTGAACATCTTGTTTAAGAATATTTTTCAAAATGCGGCATGTCAGAGAAAAATCTTTACCCATAAAGCACTGCTATTACTGAGAAGTAAAATCTCCACCTCCTTTAACAAGCAGAAAGCATAGGCCTGTACCCTGAACCCCATCTTGTATGCAACTAAAAGGAGACAATGCAACTTCTTTTCAAATGCTCTGACATAGTACATTGATATTACAGTATTCTAGCCAAGTGCCTGTCATATGACAGGGTGTGAACAAGTCATATTTCTGTATTTCCATGTACATATTGTTAGAATATTTGCATGTTTCTGTCAGAAAATGGGATGAGGGAGGGAATCACCACAAAACTCCACTGCTATGGCTTTGCTAATTAAACTTGAATTCAAATGTGGTGCAAAGAAAAGAAACTGCCTTTTGGGTAAGAAATCTGTATGGCCTACAGTGATGCCAGCTGAGCAATTATAGATCACGAGCTTTAGATTGGTGTGTATTCAGATCAATTTGACTGAAAAAAAGTTTTTCAACTGAATAATCAAATGGACAAGAATTTAGAAAGCTATTGTAATACTAAACTAAATCTACTGCTTCTTGATTCGTATCTGCTGGAGCTATTCCAATAGCCATATATAAATATCAAGAAACATACAGTATACTTATAGTAAAGGACAAAAAGCCAACTTTAATCAAATATTATATGTAAAGTTCCTTTCAGTGTATATTCACAATATCTCTACCAATACCACTTTAGGAAAAAAGTTACATTTGAACAAAATTAGGTACACACCTTACACCATATATCAATTTCTATATTGGATTTCTAAGGAAATTTTTCACTTGACCAGAGCGCCTGAGCCCCAGGAATCAGTATATGAAGATATTTCCCGTGAGATTTTATTACAGGGATGGCAAAATATACAGTCCATCTTTACTGTGTTTACATTTCACTTCCATGCACTTCAGGTGCACAGCAAGCGAGGAGCTGTATGATTATTCTCTCCCCCTCACCAATGATTTATTCTGAAGATTTTATAGAAACCCACCATGATGCTTTCATAACAAAGAAATAATTGCATGAGGATCAAAAGTTCTCAAAGCCAGAAAGCTCTCAAACAACCAGACCCAATACAGTGTTGTCTTTGAGTCAGAGTCCCCACAAAAATGAAATTCTATCCAGAAAAAATAATGTCTTCGCTTCTGATTGTCCTCTGACAGATGACGGGGGGGGATGGTGCTCCAATAGAAAAATTGTACTAAATGGCAACAGAGATCTCTCTTCCCCTCCATTCACATTGTTATGTCAGCTGACCTGACTGCTCAGACAGTGAATACATTATTTAAAATATAAATATGGCTTAAAGCACATTTACAAAAGGATAAAAAGTGATATCTAGTTTTTTATCATATCTTCAACCATATTAGTGACTATCATCACTATGAACCACAAAATTAACTTTTAGTTCAGAGATTTAGTTTTGTTATTTACATAGTGCCTTAGAAGTACATAGCATTTTACATATGTGCAAGAAAAAAGGCCCTGCTCAAAGGATCTTATCATGTAAGCCAGATTGATACAACACAGATTATAAAAGGATAAGTGTGAGAGTGGCAGCAGACAGCCCTGGAAAGGATACTAGTGATAGAAGAATAAGTGGAAGGATCAAGTTTTAAGGAAGGATCTGAAAGAGAAGAAGAAAAAGCCATAAAAATTAGGACTGTCAAGCGATTAAAAAAATTAATTGCGATTAATTGCACTGTAAAACAATAATAAATGGTATTCTATTTAAATATTTTTGGATTTTTCAAATATATTGATTTCAATTACAACACAGAATACGAAGTGTATAGTGCTCCCTTTATATTTATTTTTGATTACAAGTATTTGCACTGTACAAAAGAACAAAAAATAGGATTTTTCAATTCACCTAATACATGTACTGTAGTGCAATCTCTTTATCATGAAAGTTGATCTTATAAATGTAGAATTATGCACACAAAAAGAACTGCATTCAAAAATACTTTTTTTTCAGCCAATCACTCAGACAAACAAGGTTTTTTTTTACATTTGCAGGAGATAATTCTGCCATCTTCTTGTCTATGTCACCTGAAAGTGAGAACAGGCATTCTCATGGCACTGTTGTAGCCAATGTCGTAAGATATTTACGTGCCAGATGTGCTAAAGGTTCATATATCCGTTCATGCTTCATCCACCATTCCAGGGGACATGCGTACATGCTGATGACGGGTTCTGCTCAATAACAATCCAAAGCAGTGCGGACCAATGCATGTTCATTTTCATTATCTGAGTCAGATGCCACCAGCTCAAGGTTGATTTTCTTTTTTGGTGGTTCGGGTTCTGTAGTTTCCACATCGGAGTGTTGCTCTTTTAAGACTTCTGAAAGCATGCTCCACACCTCGTCCCTCCAGATTTTGGAAGGCTCTTCAGATTCTTAAACCTTGGGTCGAGTGCTGTAGCTATCTTTAGAAATCTCACATTGGTACCTTCTTTGCGTTTTGTCAAATCTGCAGTGAAAGTGTTCTCATAATGAACAACTTTTGCTGGATCATCCTCCGAGACTGCTATAACATAAAATATATGGCAGAATGCGGGTAAAACACAGAGCAGGGGACATACAATTCTCCCCCAGGGAGTTCAGTCACAAATTTAATTAACACGTTATTTTTTAAATGAGCGTCATCGGCATGGAAGCATGTCCTCTGGAATGGTGGCCGAAGCATGATGGTACATACAAATGTTTAGCATATCTGGCACGTAAATACCTTGCAATGTCGGCTACAAAAGTGCCATCCAAATGCCTGTTCTCACTTTCTGGTGACATTGTAAATAAGAAGAGGGCAGCATTATCTCCTGTAAATGTAAGAAACTTGTTTATCTTAGCAATTGGCTGAACAAGAAGTAGGACTGAGTGGACTTGTAGACTCTGAAGTTTTACATTGTTTTATTTTTGAGTGCAGTTACGTAATGAAAAAAATCTACATTTGTAAGTTGCACTTTCACGACAAAGAGATTGCACTACAGTACATGTATGAGCTGAATTGACAAATTCTATATTATTTACAGTTCAAATATTTATAATAAAAAATAATATACACTTTGATTTCAATTACCATGCAGAATAGAATATATATGAAACTATAGAAAAACATCCAAAATATTTAATAAATTTCAAATGGTATTTTATTGTTTATCAGTGCGATTAAAACTGCGATTAATCATGATTAATTTTTTATTCATGTTTAATTTTTTTGAGTTAATCGCGTGAGTTAACTGCAATTAGTCGACAGCCCTAATAAAAATATAAGAAAATTTAAGCTAGATTTAAGTTCCGGAAAAATCCATATGACTTCAATAGGTTTTCCTTCATGTACAAATTCAGAGCTTCTATTTACAGACTCAAATCCTCTCTTCTCTTTTTCTATTTGACTGCCTTTTTTTTTTTCTTTTTTTCGGGGGGGTAGGGGAGGGAAAGGGAGGATAATAAGTCTATAGTGATTTGTGGCCCAAGAGCAAAGAGTTTTTTCTTGTTGAATATAACAAGTCCATTCAGGAGACTACAGATTATACCAGAGAAATTATAAATATATATATATATAAACCCCTCAGAGTTAAAGCCTTCTGGCAGCGAGCCAACTATCATGAGTTGTAACTCATGATAGTGGTACTCTGCTCCATACAGCCTACACAGGCAGCTTCTAAGTTACACATCACAATAGCTTAAATTTCAGCTACAATCAGAGACCAACTCTCCCTCTGTGTCCCATTACTATACTTGCAGACTAGTGGAATACTTCAGTGGTCTGTCCCAAAGGCTGAACTTGAAGGCACAGTACAGACTAGTGCCTTCTCAACTGTGAACGCTTGGCTCTGGAATTTGCTCCCAACACATATCCATCAAAGCCAATCCTTGTCACTTTTGGGTGCAATGTAAGAGTTCTCCTTGTTTAGGCTCTCTCCTAATTATTGGACTTTCTTTTCCAAATCAGTTGGAATTAAGCAAAATAAGCAGTCATGATTAAATTATCCCTTGGATCTGCCATTAAGAACATAAGAACGGCCATATTGGGTCAGACCAAAGGTCCATCAAGCCCAGTATCCTGTCCTCTGACAGTGGCCAATGGCAGGTGCCCCAAAGGGAATGAACAGACAGGTTATCATCAAGTGATCCATGCCCTGTCACCCAATCCCAGCTTCTGGCAAACAGAAGCAAGGGACACCATTCCTGCCCATCCTGGCTAATAGCCATTGATGGCCCTATCTTCCATGAATCTATGTAGCTTCCGTTTGAACTCCATTATAGTATTGGCCTTCACAACACCCTCTGGCAAGGAGTTCCAGAGGCTGACAGTGCGTTGCGTGAAAAAATACTTTCTTGTGTTTGTTTTAAATCTGCTACCTATTAATTTCATTTGGTGGCCCCTTGTTCGTGTATTATGAGAAGGAGTAAATAACACTTTCATGAGTGGTATAGAAAAAGTAAATAAGATTTTATAGACGTCTATCATATTCCCCCCTTAGTCACCTCTTTTCCAAGCTGAAAAGTCCCAGTCTTATTAATCTTTCCTCATACGGAAGCCGTTCTATATCCCTAATCATTTTTGTTGCCCTTTTCTGAATGTTTTCCAATTCCAATATATCTTTTTGAGATGGGGCGATCACATCTGCATGCAGTATTCAAAG